TGTCCCTAAGTGTTGGTCCTCTGATCAGTTTAAAGAAAAATTATGTGAATATGAGAGGTTTTACACAAGATGAGGTAAATTTGGTTGTTGTGTGTATAAGAATATTTCAATGTTGGGTGCTGACAAAACACAAGGCTTATTTTTATGCTGTGAATGGCAAGATGGCAGTGTGGAAACTACTGGTGAAACAACACAGAAACAACAACAGTTAAGGAATAAAATATTCAAACTAGAACAACACTGCACACAAAAAAAAGCACAAGAAATTACATATGCAGCTTCTAAAACAGCATTGGAAAATATGGTAGCCAAACAGAAATACTCGTGCTTAGAATCCACTTGTCATGTATTTCGAACTGTTTACAGTATTTGCAAAGCTGGATATCCATTTACTGACTCGCCCAATCTTGTAGATCTTCAAGTGCTCAATGGAATTGATATGGGACGTGTTTTACAAAATGACCATTTTTGTGCAAACATTAGTGTTCATCTTGCTAATGCTATGAGAGAGAATGTAGTGACTGAAATAGTAATAAAAAAACTCAAGATTGGTATAATGATTGACAAATCATCATCAATACATAAAAAACAGCTTTAATTATTTGCATCAGAGTGCAGTTTCCAGAAGAAGAAGCATGTTTTTAGATCTTGTTGAAGTTGAAATAACTACTGCTGCAGAAATTGTATCAGCTCTATTGATAAGACTGAATAATCTTGGCTTTATAAAAAAAAAAAGTACTTATCTTCTCAATAGATGTTGTTTGCTTGTGATGGTTAGGCAGAAAAGCTGGTGTTGTAACCAAATTGTTAGAAATGTTTCTGCATCTGACTGTGTGGCACTGTGCAAATCATCATATAGAACTTGCAATGTCTGAAGTTGTGGGGGAACTGTCAGAACTGTGCCATATGAAAATCTTCTTTGATAAACTATACAGCTTATATAGTGCATCACCCAAAAACTGCAATGAACTAAAAAATTGGGTAGCTTCTTTGAATGTGCAGTTGCTAAAAGTTGGGTGTATTTTCAGATTGCAGTGGGTGGTATCTAGTACTTGCTCTGTAAGGGCTATATTGTGTGATTTTTCTGCATTGTTTAGACACTTTGAAGCTACTGAGAATGACCTTAAACGTAACTCATCAGAAAGAGCTCAATACTGAGGCCTGAAAGAATGTATAATTGATGTTTTCTTTGTAACCAATATGGATTTAATGTTAGATGCACTCACAGAGTTGGAAGATTTGTTGCTCAAACTACAAAAACGATCGGTGATGTTATCAAAAGCATACAAACTAATTGATCAAAAGCATTGAGTATTTCAATCTATGATCAAAAACCCAGGACAATATCTAACGACAGCACAGGATGTGGCAAATACACTGGATTTTTGTGGTGTAACTCTGCACCTTCCACAAAGGGTCAAGCCCATTGATCACCAGGCATTTTATATATTGCTCATGGACAAACTTGCTAGAAGGATGTTTGCATCAGGATCATCAGCTTCCCATTCTACTAAAGAAATCTATAAAAACTGCAACAGTGTTAAATATAAGGAAATGAGAAAGCACTTAGAGATGTTAGATCCTGCAAAAAGGCCCACTGATCCTGACATTTGCTTTGGTGATAAAGCCGTTCACTGCTTGAGTTAATTATTTATTGAGTAATTATTTTAAAGGTTAGACAATGTATTTGCAAGTTCTTGATTTTTTTAATACATATTCCATGTCACTCATTGAGTTTTGCAATTTTGCTAATAAAATACTTGTTTTAACTTTCATGAATTTGAAAACAAAAATTTGAATGTGAAAAAGAGCTTCCAAACTTTGAATTATGAAACACTATAGTCATATGTAAAAGCTGCTTCATGGAAGCCATAACTAAAAACATTAAATAAACTAATATTGCCACCCTTTCAATGCATCATTTCCATATTGTTTAAAGTGATGTAATCAGTAATACCATCACAAGATATGATGTACAGGTTAGAAGAGTCATGCATCTTGATTAAGAATTCCAAACAAAGAAAAACGCTATCACCATTTTATGTACGAGCATACCCCCACTTCTGAGTTCCCATTTCAAGCACTGCCTGTAAGGATATTTAAGTATTTTATGGATCATTCAAATTGAATAGATTGGCACTACAATATCCTTTGCTGGATGATTATGATATTGACTGAAGGTGACAGCCAACAAACAATGTCAGGAAACAAATATCACAAGGTGATACCATATACTGGACAAAGAAAGCTAGTTTACATACTAATATTGAGCATGCCATCCTGGTTCAGTTTTTCACTAGAAGATCTACAAGGAGGACCTGCTTTTTTTTTGTAGATCAGTATGCTTATTTCAATAGCAATCAATCTTGAGAGAAAGAAAAACTAGATACAGTCTAGTAGAAAAAGACTGTACAGATATATGCATAGGTATGCTTTATTTGTGCAATACTGATTTTGTTCAATCTCTTAAAGCTGTCAACACTGTTTATTCCACACTTTAAAAAAAATCATTCTAACCATCTTATACAGAAACTCTGCTAATTCCTGGGTGAACCTGCTATTATCTTTAAGTCTCTTCAAGGGTGTAGGAACTAGGGATGCTGAGGGTCTAGCAGCACCCCCTAGCTTGACGTGGTTCCTATCATCTATACAGAGGTTTTGATGTTACTCATTGGTTTTCAACACCCACATTACAGAAATTGTTCCAGTGTCAATGTGTCTAACTATCTCATATTTGTAGGGAAGTCAGATTGTCTGAGAATATCAAAGAACTACCCATTACAGTTATTTTAGATCACATGAAAAGCAAGGTGACTAAGAGTCATTCAGTTAACTACAGTGACCACAAATTGAAAAATATTTTATATTTTTAAAACCCAAATTATATTTAGCCTTTTAATATCATTATACGTATCCAACAAAGTTTTAAAGGAATTCAAACAAATGGCACGTAACACATTATTAGGCAAACCATTTCCCAATATTATAAATAACTGAAAAAATTATTTTTATGAAACAATAACTGTATAATCTAAGTTTCCAGATCTTAACCATATATTACTCCTAGTACTCACATTTATATTTAAAACCTTTTCATCAGGCACTAAAATAAAAAAACTGCCTCAACTTCTAACAATTTTGAAAACATGAATCAAGTTTTCCTCTCAAATCTAGTTTGGCTTTGATCTCTTTAAACATGTTGGTATTCTATCTGTAGAAAGAGGACCAAAATTGCACATTGTAGTTTAAGCGGTGGGTGCAAGCCTATGGAAAGTGATTTAACTATCAAGAGATGTTTTATCATCACCTATTTTCCAGCATCTGAAGAATGCTTATGTAATGATTACTGATCCCAAAAGGATACATGAATTACAAGAGAGTAACACATGATATTCCCCATAATCCCTCAAATGCAGGACACTTTGCTAAACCTTGAGCCCATCCCCTTTAAATGTGGTTCACCACTGTGTCACCAGTCTTGCACAAAGCTCAATGACTTTACTTAGAATTCCTATGAATAACACTAAGAACCATTTTCTCTTTTATTCTTAACCAAACACTCAGTAGAAACTTAGAGATCTTTAAAAATCAAAATCACAACTAAATCAGTCTCCTTTTTCTACAAAACCAATGCTCCCCTAACTCAATAAGTATTTTTTAAATCCACACACTTCAAGTACTGATTTTACACTTTTCATTATTAAAGCTAATCTTCCATATTCTGGCCCATTCACAGACTGTCAAGGTCCTTTTTTTGTGTAAAAGAATGATTTCCGACAGAATTAAAGTATCACCATGCACTTCATGTAAATACATTACAATCAATTTTTTTGCTTTTAAACATAAAACCATTTTTCTACCCATTTCTTAATATTTTTTAAGAGGCCCATTATAAAGGTAACTCTAAAGGTCAACATAAAAAACATCATCTTAGATGCTTCCATTAATAGTAAAGGAGTCTATAAAATATAAAATCTTAATAAACACTTATAATTGAGTCTAAATTTTCCAATTGTTTTTGAAAATACTCCTGACAACACTTTCTTACAAAAGTAGGTTGGCTTCATAAGTTAGCCCAGGAAGTCAAGTTGACCAGGCTTTCACTGAATGAATTTATAAACAGGCCAATAATAAGACTGGCCTGGTGAAGAGCAGCTAGTAAATATTATGATTAAAGTCTGAATAATACTTAGTGTACTGTTGGTCAAGGTCCAATAGCAATTAAAAGTTATAATTAAGAAACAGCATTCAGTCACAAATGCACTGGCACTTTAGAAAATTCTGATTTGTCAAATGGCTAGCCTGCTATGGTATTTCAACACTTTTTTAACAACAAAAGTGAAAGTAATCAATCTATAGCTTCTACAAACCACAGCATCTTCAATTTTTTTAAGAAAATTCCATGTTCTTACAAACTATTACATTACTATCAAATGTTTATGTTATAACTATAAGCCTTTCCTATTCTTTTATTAATATGTTCTCTAAAAATATATTAAGCTTACATCCTTCTAAGACAACATCTTCAATTAACTTAGTCTTGGTACAACCAATTACAAAGGCTAATTCTCCTACATAAATGTACTTTTAAAATTTAAGGGCACTGTCTCACAAGTCGTCAATACCAAGTCATGTTCCAGCTTTCATTCCGAAGTTCCCATTTTGGAAAAATATATAATATTAAGGATATGATTATAAACTAAAGGCTTTATAGTATAAGGTCTATTTCTAAACACAGAGGCTTTACCTTTAAGTTTAAGAGAAGTCTCCCTTCACTCGCAACCATTTGTGCTGCCTTGAACCAACACTCTTTTAGTCTTAATTAAAAGAAAGTGGAGCTTCAGCACATGCTGTAGTAAGACTGGCATTTCTCAACCTTTTCCAAATTACTATTGAGCCTACTAGTACTAGCATAGTAGCAATACTACTTAAACTTTTATATTAAGCCTAATGATAGGCCTAAACAAGACGAAAATAAAACAGCATCTTTTAATTTTTACCTTTCTTGGATAACTCTTCAGTTCTTCCAGGCATCATGCGCAAAATTTCTTATTTATTAGTAATTTATAAGTCTATTGTAGGATTGCATCAGAACCTGCAAACACAAAGCTTTAAATTTGACTTGGCCTAACAGCAATACTAATACTAATGGTTACCTTAGGCCTAACGGTAATTTAACTATGTTGTATTAATTAGGCTTAAGCAATATTATTATTTATTAATACTAATAAATAATTAAAGTCTGTAAAGGAAATATTTGACAGTTAATGTTATATTTTAGAATTTTGAAAGTGATATAACTTTTCCTTTCACTTTAAATTTAATTTAAGAAAGTGTCCAAACTAGATAAATCATGGCATTCGAATTATATCAACTTTGAAGGCCATAAAATCATGATATGCAGTAACGATGTTCCCTATAAACAATAAATAAATGCAATTTTATTCAACGAAGATCGATTCTACCATTATAGTGTCAAATAATAATAATGGAAAACAGAAACAAACCCTATTAATTAAGTCAGCTACATTGCTAACAGTGACTAAGACTTGCTAATTAATAACCAATTTAGCAAGTTTTGTCCAAAATAAACTATTAGTGTGTGTGTATGTATGTGTGTATATACGTATATGTATATATATATATATATATTATTATTATTAAGCAATTTTTAATGTTTTAATTTATATGTTAGCCAGATGGTGATGGAAGTATTAATGATGGTGTTAAATTAGGCTTAGTATTGTTACGCCTCCAGTCGTTAGTTGATT